ATGTAGATTGCAAGGGATTCAGAAGCTTTTGTTGCTGCAAGGCATTCGGAAGCGTTCGGCGATCAAGTGCGTTCGGAGACAATCATCAGCAACTATTAGCGATCGAGTTCCATAATTCGTAGGAATTCTGAAGTCCCGTATCAATTCCCATGGACAGGGCTTAACAGGTAGTGGTAGTAGTGGTAGTAGTGGTAGTGGTAGTGGTAGTGGTAGTGGTAGTGGTAGTAGTAGTAGTAGTAGTAGTAGGAGTAGTAGGAGTAGTTAGTAATTAATAGTAATGCTATTACGCTAGAAATGGGTGGTCCACCCCCGGGTAGGGGACAGGCAACACAAACCTGGCGAAACCTGCAACCGGCCTACCCACCGAAGATTCCTCGTTAACATACCGAAATCATGATTAGCACTATGATGTCCATAATTACTAGTATTACTATCATAGACTGATATGAAAGTAGCTTTACTATCATAGCCTGATCTGAGTGGGGTGGAGGGCTCTAATTGGAGCACTAGGTCTGAAGCCACCTTCTCGGTAGGCTGTCCATCCATCAGAAGCATGTCAAGGGCGTTGTGAGTGCTAGGATGGCGGGGTTTTAAACATGATTCTCTTCAGAAGGCATACATTCTGTGAAAAGTGGAATTTAGGGTGGTGCCAGCCCGAAACCTGAAGAACGAGTGAAAATTAGGGGGGTGCCCACCTGCGCAGGGAAGAGTCAACCAACAAAACTATTGGAAATCTTCTATCGTATGCCTTCGAAAGCAATGCCCCACCCCCCCCACCCCCCGCCCACACCCCTGGATGTGTAAGGGCGCCATTGATACATGGCTTCGCGGCAAGAAGCCCTAAACCCTATACGGGTGGTTGTCAAAATTATGGTCCCTTTTTGGGTCCCCATCATAATACGGCACCTAATATTTAGGGTACCCAAAAAAGGACCATAATCTTGACAACCACCCATATGAGCATCCTAGTCTCCCCCTAATAACCCGAATCACGCTCCCTTGTGTAATCCCTTCTATAACCTCATGTAAGGAGTTTAGATTACAGCTCATGTAATACCCCATGTCTGGGTTTTTCTAAGTTTCTTTGTGCGGGTCTTGACGTAAAAGGGCAGCCAGGCATTCGTCAACATCTGCAACGACCCGAGCCATGGTAACCTCAGAAGATAAAGTTAGGGTTTAGGGCTTTGGGCCAATTTTTTGGGCCTAAGTCCTAAACCCTAAACTCGCGGTTAACAAAGGTCATGGTTTAGGATTTAAGGCTCAAGGCCTAGGATGTAGGATTTAGGTTTGGGATTTAGGGTTCGGGACGTAGGATTTAAGGTCCCATATTTAGGATGCAAGGTTAGGGCCTAGGTAACCTGATTACTGGCTTGCTGTTCAGGAACTGAGATGAAGTTATCATGAGGGAATGCAAAGAAAGCGGAACTTTTACACTATTGAGGATTATATGGAGTCAATGCAGGGATAGGAATGTAAATCAGTTAGTGAGGTTTTACGATACATGATGGGCGTTCCTCATGATGGGAGCTTACTGTAGATTTAGATTCCTACCCTTTTTTGCAACAGGCTTCAATTCAGATCCGCCCGGTGGCGACTCCCCCTGCACGTGCTCATGAATCTACCCTAAGCCCCAAACCCTAAACCCTCATTATGCTAGCCTGTTCTAGATTTGAATTCTTTGCAGCAATGCAGACTAGGGATGGGGCTTATCAGGCTTAGGGAACACGGCTGGGAGGGGGAGAGGGGTGTGGTTAGGGGCCAGAATTCAGGAGTTTGGATTTTGTGTAGTGTTGTATGGGCTATAATCCGAACTCCTTGTATCCCCCTTGTAGGGTTTGGGTTTTAGTGTAGTGTCAGAGGAGGAGACTTTGGGGCTTAGGGTTTAGGATTTTGGGTTTAGGACTTTGGGTTACGTCTAGTGTTACAGGAGGAGACTTTGTGGTCTCGGGGCTTATAAGAGTTTCTTCTCAACGCAAGAGCGTCTGTCATTGAGGATAGTATTGCTGACGTGAAGAACCAACAGAAGACACAAAGACTAGCGCTAGCAACACGAACCACATGAGGAACGCAACTGGCAATGGTCAAGTGAATGATCGGCCGCTTTCCTGTAATGTTTTGAACACTCAGAAAAAGGTGCAAGCATAAAGCTGATTCTCAAACAATGGTCCAGATGCAATGACAGCCTCATCTGCTGTCCTGCAGAGCTTTGCCCAATAGGTTTCACTTAGGCCGTAAAGTCAACATGATGGGGCATGATTTTGATTTCTGTTCCAAAGCGGTTCTATGGGAATCATGATAGGAGTGCAGCGGGGTGCATAGAACTTACGGTATGCCGGTATGCGGGCATGAAACGGCACATCAGCAATAGCTAGGTGTTCACGCCCTGTCAGCCCTAGTAACAAAATTTGGGAGATGTCCTGCTATAGAGCAATCACACCAAACCCTGAACCCTAAAAGCCTAGACCATAAGCACCAAAGCAATAAATCAAACAACTCTTTGCCCTTAAACTCTCAAACCAGAAGCCGCGGTAGCGGGCGTGGAGTCTTATGGTATCTGACAAGACTCTGACATATGCAGGCTTGTGCTGATGGTATACCTAGACCCTTAAGCTCTACCCCTTTTAAGATAGCTAATTGTGTATATAGAGCACGAGACATAAAGTTAGTTACCCCAAAAAAGGTTGGGTTAAGGGTCTAGGTAGAGTGTACGTCCGGGCGCAGACTTTCGACATCGATTTCCGTCTTAGGATGTTTTGATTGTCAATAGGAACCAAAAATCGAACTATCAGACCCCGACATACTCTAATACGGTATGTAGGCACCGCTTGACCTAGGTTGCTGTTCAGGAGTTAAACTTAAGTTGCCATAGTGGGTATAGATATATATATAGCACTTAATATGGTTCCCCCTTTATAGTAGCTCAAACTAAGTTCCTTAACAGCAGCCCGGAAAACTGGACCACCAATGCTTGGGAAGCCCAGTTCGAATGTAAGGTTTATAGAGTCTAGGGCTTAGAGCTTAAAGTTTAGCATCTAAGGCTGAGGGCTGAAGGTTGGAGTTTGGGGCTTGATGCTTCAAGCTTAAGATTTAAGCTTTAGACCCTACACCCTAAACCCTAGACCCTAAACTACTTTAGGGCTGTAATGTCTAGCTTTAGAGTTTCGGGTTTAACGTTCATGTCTTCGCGCAAGCCTTGCCGCCGTGGGCACTCACATGAGGATAGCTCGGATAATCCTGTTACGTAGAAGCCTGAACCCCCCAAATGCTTAGGGTTTAGGGTTTAGGGAATGACATGCCGACAGCTTACGTCAAGGCCCGTAAGCACCGTATAACCCCAAAAACGATTTCCAGAACAGGGTTAAGCCTTCAACGAACAAAAGACTGTTTCCTAACCCCCTAAACCCCAAAATCCCAAACCCTAAATCCTTAAGCCCTAAACCCCCTAAACCGTACCTTGAACCTCCTGAACTCTAACCCCATCCCCCTACAATCCCCCTTAAGTAGATAGAATATAGCTTTGGGCATACTATAATAAGATCCCCATATACCCCATATTCTATCTACTTAAGGGGGACTATACACCCTCAACCCTAAACCTTAAACAGTAGTTTCCATCTTGTTTTCCATTCTCCCAATATAACCCCTATAATTCTATCTACTTCAAGGGGGACTATAAACCCAGCTACTAAGGCCAAGAGTCCATCCCAAACTCGAGCAGCTCTGAGCGTTGTCCAGGATTTGACCTGAAATTGCTCCCCTAGGCTTAGGGTTTAGGATCCTGACGCTCCCTAAGCCTTGAGGCTTAGGATTTTTAGGGCTTGAGGGTTTGAGGTTTAGAATCTAGGGTTCAGGGCTTGGAAGTTAGGATGAAAGGGCTGATGCCTCAGGATTCATGAATAAGTTTAGGGCTTCGGATTTAAAATGTACAGGACTGCGGCTTAGGATTGTTTACCCCAAGCCCCAAACCCTAAAACCGTAGTTTGGGGAAGGCATTCAACTGATGGAGTCTCGAGAAAAATTATGAAGGGACCCTGGGTGGAACCCTTAGATCAAACCCTATGGGCTTCAGGGTTTTAGGATTTAGGGTTAGGATGAATGAAAGGACTTGGGGTGGAATGCTTTCACTTAAAGGTTTCAGAGTGCAGGTCCAGATTAAATCTGAGTGCTTTTATAAGAGGATTGTGGTGACCCCAACCCCAAAATTTCGGCCCCTGTAGCTCTATAGCATGACTATATTCAGGGTCCATAAGCCCCAGACCCTAGACCCTAAGCCCTTGGGTGGTTTGAGCATGTAGGCTCCTATGGATGGATCAGGTCGTTGTGAACAGAAGGCACGGTCCCCTTTTTGAAAGTCCATACAAGGTTGACGGTTTGGGTTTGAGTTTAGGGCGAAAGGTTTAGGAGTAAACTGCCCGGAGCTTTGGGGTGTAGCAAGGGCAACCACATGCTGCAATGGAAGTACATACTTGGGTAAATATGCATGTATGTGAACTGGGCATCCCACATTTTGGGTCTCACTTTGAAGGCCTCAAAGAGGTTCAGGCTTTTGCTGCTAGGCTTATGGGCCCCTACATGGTAGGTAGCTGTGTTAGATTCATGTCCAACGCCGCGTAAGTATATAATTACTTGGGTTCAATAAAGCTAGAGAAGACGGATCCCCCCTTGAAAAATGATGGGGATCCTGATATACTTGCCACTGTCCCTGTTGGTCACTTATAGCGGATGCGAGGATCACCTGGAAGCTAAAGTTGCGCTTTCTTCCAGACTTTCTGATGCGCTAGGGGAAGATGAGGGGGTAAATTTAAGCCTACAGTGATGACAGGAGTACATATAAGAATTATGTACGTAGGGTAGTAATAGGGGTTCACTTCCGTACTGGCCCTTCAGCACCAGTAAGAAAGAGCCATTCGGGAGTGTGACAGTCAAATGGGACAAAACCTAAACCCTAACAACCTGTTCCCAAATAAAGTCATAGAAGATTCGGCAAAAGCTCCAAAATCCTAACCCCGTCCTCACACGAAGAACTTAAAGCCCGTGTAGAACCATCCAGACCCCCAAAGGGATCTAAAGAAGTAGATCCCCCCAGAACCATATGGGAAATTATATAAGGAATATACAAGGGGGATCTAATTTTCAGATCCTCCCAGGGGTCTGGCAATCTACAATCCTTCTCATACCGAGAACTTGAAGCCGTTCTAGAACAATCTAGTGTACTATCCTTATACACAACAACGGCCAAACCTTACATGAACTATAGTCTAAACTCCTAGTATCCCCCTTAATAACCCCTTATCGTAGTCCCCTATATTACCTCCTATATTACCCCCTTTAAGGAGTTTAGACTATAGATCTTATGCTTTATGCCACGCCGAGCGGCCGCCGCAGGACAGAGCCTGCAAGCGCGTGTCGGGGCCTCCAGCCTCTTTGCGCGGTCTTCTTGGTGAATGGCAAGATTGGCATATGGGTGCTTGTCAAAATTATGGTCCCTTTTTGGGTACCCTAAATATTAGGTGCCGTATTATTATAGGGATCCAAAAAGGGACCATAATTTTGACATCCACTCATATTACGAAACAGTGTCGCAATTACAAGAGACCAGGGGTCAATCAGTGCAAAGGCTGAGGACTACCAAGGAGTAGGGTTTCAGGATGTAGGTTTTAGGGCCACATCTACGGAAGACGGGCTTCTGTAGGTTGACAAACTCACACATCATGGGACCTTGAGCTCTGAGTCCCCAACCCCTAGAGCCGTATAGCCCAATCCTAAAGACTTAAGCCATGAAGCCTTTAACCAAACAACTTGAGCTGAAACCCAATCCAAGACCCCCAAAACCCTAAAACCAAACCCTAAACCCCTGCATAAGTAGCTCCCTGAAACAATTTCCATAATATACTATAAGAGTCTATGACATAGTAGAATATGGTAGTTTCCCAAAATAGGGGGACCCCAATATAGACCCCAAAATACTATAGTCCTTATTAAAGGGACCCCAAAAATGGTATCCCTAATTTTGGGAAACCCCCATATGGCAAGTTCCCGTAG